TGAAAAGTTTAAAGTCAGAGAAGCCTAGGAAGATAGGTATGAACTCAGGCAGAATAAGCAGAACCAGAAGAAATATTTATTTATACAAATACAACATACGTCTTGAGCCCATATATCTTAATCCCTAATATTGCTCTTGAACTCTATTCTTGACTAGGATCGTCCCACAGGGGTCTTAAACTCAGCAACTCCAAAATAGAAGTCGTTAGCTTCCCCTTTAAACTCATTTCTCCTCCAAATTTCCCTGTTTCTTTTGTAGGTTATGGACCAAATTCACAATTTCAGTCATCTTCGATTCTTGCTAAGGGAGGCAGCCTTATAGAATGACTCTGGAATCCGAGAACCTAGGATCAAATCTTACCTTTGATGCTTACTCTGAATGACCTTGGGCAAGTCACTTAACCTCCTTGGGCCTCAGTTTCCTCATCTTTAAAATGCAGTGAGCAAGTGGATCAGATGGTGTCTGGGATCTAGATTTATAGTCCTATAAACTCTCCTTCAGCCTTCATAGCTATTCATTTGCCAAATCTTATCAATTCTACCTCGGCATCTCTCATATCCATCTGCTTTACTCCATTCACCTACTGTGCCAGTAGCTGCCTCAAAGGAACAAAAAGCTTTACAGACTGCTTAGAAGTTTTCAGTTTATAAATCACAAACACACTGTCTAGTATTTATTTAAGAAAGGCAACATGACATAGTGGAGGGAGAACTGCCCTTGGAACCTAGAAGGCCTGGGTTCAAGTCCCACTTCTGATAACATACTGCCTATAATGACTCTGGGCACATTATTTGACGTTCTGGTGCCAAACAGAAAAGAAGGCCACTAACCTTTATATAACTGAGTCCTGTTGATTTGCTTTAAAATGCAGTAGTGTTTTACTGTATTGTTTACTTATTTTGGTAAATATTTACCACTTACATTTTAATCTGGTCCTGCCTCACTCTGGAATGTTGTGGCAGCACACAGCCCAGTCTGACACCTCTCCTCTACACAATTCTCTAATTTTGTTTTGTTATTTTTTTAAAATTTATATAGCGTTTACCATGTGCCAGGCTCTAACCTAAGCACTTCACAAATAGTATTTCATTTGATCCTTACAACAACCCAGCAAGGTAAGTGCTACTATATCCCCATTTTACAGATGAGGAAACTGAGGCACAGAGGTTAAGTGGCTTGCCTAGGGTCACACAGCTAGGAAGTATCTGAGGCTAAATTTGAACTCAAGTCTTCTTGACTCCAGACCTGGTACTTTATTCACTGCACCACTTAGCTCCCCTACCTAGTTGCAGAGAAGAGGCTAACCTGCTTTGGTAGAGAAAGTTTCCTTACCTGGGTTCCCTATACCAGTGAAATTAAAAGTACTGTTCCTATCCCTACTTTTATCCAGAAGAGAGTTGGAAAGTGATGGATATGTTGTTCAGTCTTTTAGTCGTGCCCAACTCTTTATGACCCTGTGAACCATATCATGCCAATATTGTGGATGCAGAGATACAGACGTGTGTATATATATGCAGGTGTATATTTACATGCATGTCTGTATTTGTGTATAATATGCATGTGCTGTATGCATTGTATTTGTGTATATACATGTATGCATTATTGAGTATGCATGCATGTACATGTGTGCATGTATAGATGTGTGCATGTATGTATATTTGCATATATTATGTGTGCATTGCATTTGTGAATGTGTGGCTTGCTTGTATGTATGTGCTATACATGTTATGTGTTATACGTGTTGTGTGTATACATGTATGCATATGTACATGTATGTATGCATGTAAGCGTGCATGTGTTGTTAAGAGTGTGTTTTGTATATGCATGTGTATATGCATGTATATATGTATCTGTGATGGATATAGTGGACATCAAATATCATTTTTTAAAAAAATGAAATTGACTACATCTTAACAGATAGCAAATGAGAGGTTACTGATGGAATTGCCTTCTGTGTGCAGTCAGATCACCAACTAATTAGAACCAAGTTCCAAATCACAATCAAAGTAGAAGAAAAGCTTATAATGAGATGACACTATGAACATTAGAACAGCTTCAGTCTGACCTTTTCAGACAAGCTGTCAATGATGAACACTGGCAAATGAAAAAAGGCAAAGATTTTCTGGATTATAACCATGTTAAGTTTAACAGCAGCAAAAGTCATCCCATCACAAAAGGCTAGAAATTATCAGCCAACAAACACTTGACCTCTTTGCCAAGGGAGAGAGATGGTAGCCAAGGGATTTCAGTTCAGTTGTTTTTCAGTCCTGTTGGTCTCTTCATGCCCCATTTGGGGTTTTCTTGGCAAAGATACTGGAGTGATTTGCCTTTTCCTCTCCAGCTCATTTTACAGATGAGGAAACTGAGACAAACAAGATTAAGTGACTTGCCCAGGGTCACACAGCTAGTAAATATCTGTGGCTGGATTTGAACTCAGAAGAAAAGTCTTCCTGACTCTAGGTCTGGCAGTCTACCTACTGTGCCACCTAGCTGCCCATAGCCAAGGGATTAGACTACAAACTAATTTCAATTAATACAGTAATGTGAAAGGTTCTAGAGGACCCTCACTTTCCTAGAAACACTCCAGCAAAGTTCTAAGAATACCCACTGAAGAAATAATAATAAAGAAAATCAAAGACTATTCTAAAAGCAACATATTCTTCCATCCAGTCCAGGATTGTACATGGAGAATATCTACAGGCATTCTGCGTGGAGACAAGGCAGGGGACCATGAAGCCAGTACAAAGACCAAGGGTCTAAAGCCAGTAGGATCCTGGCTGACCCTAGACTGTCTGAGCAGCAGGGGGCAGATTTAGTCCCCATAGGTCAGTGCACAGGGGGGAACAGACTGGGCAGTAATACATACCTGGGGCCTTTCAAGAGGCCTGGAATCAGGGCTGAGGGCAGGTCAGGGCCTATTCCTAGCTACAGAATTTAGAACTTTAGCATCCAGACTGCAAAAGGGATAGGGCCAAGCAAGAATTCCTTTACTTGATCCAAGAATGCAGGAGGAAGCAATGTCACTCCCTAGCACAGAATCCCAGTCCAAAAACTGAGGCTAGAGACATGAATAAATAGAAGAAAATGTTGAGTACAATGAAGAAATACTTGGAGTTGAGAAGCCCAAGAGATTAAACCCAAAAAGATTACCTATGCAAGGACAAGTCTCAGAGAGGGATGAAAAATGACTTGGCCATGAGGACGGTAAAGGTATCTAAAAGAAATGAAGCAAGAGATGAAAAAACATTATAAGTGAAATAAAATATCTGGAGGAAATAAAAAGTGGACAGAGAATAGACTACAGATTCATGTGTAAAACACTATGGAGAGGAAAAAAATGAAAGCTTGGCCATGAAGAAGATGAGAAAATGCACCTCCTTCTCTTCCTTGGAGAAATAGAAGACTAAGTTTACAGAACATCATTTAGACTGCCAGACTTGGTTGGTGTGTACATTAGTTTTGTTATAATACCTTCTTTCTCTTCATTTTTTATTTGTTGTTACTGGGGATAGCTTGCTGGGTAGGGGAAAAGGAAAGGATCCATTTCAAGTGAAGGTGATATAAAAACAAATGATCTCAATAATTAAAAAAAAAAAAACCTTAGTTACCCAGCTGAAAATAAGGCAAGGTAAGTGAAAATGGAATGTGGTGGTCCCAAAAGAGGCATGCCATGTGGCATCTACACCCCTCCACAGCCTAAGGAGAGCCAGAGATGTAGAGAAAGGGGGCTGTTCACTTACTGATACAGGAGCATCAGCTCTACGCTGCCTGTAGATGGCAAAATAGGCAGGGAGATACCACGAAGAGTTAGTTCTAGGAATAGATCAGTCCATACTAAGGATGCTTTAGCTGTTTGCTTTGAGCCACAAATTACTAAGCATAGCAAAAGACGGACCTTTAAAGTGGTGATCCTGAATCCCAAGAAGCTCTCCCTACCCATATCAATCAGTCAATCAATAACCATTTATTAGGCAGCAAACTATGAGCCCTGGGGATACATGAGGCAAAAGACAGTTCCAGGGGCAGCTAGGTGACGCAGTGGATAGAGCACTGGCCCTAAAGTCAGGCAGACCTGAGTTCAAATCCAGCCTCAGAC